TATGCATTAAGCAAAATATCCTGTCTCTAATATTTAAATTTGCCCATGGCCGTGAGCCGCACTTCAGTTTATCTGTTATATATATGTGGCAATCAGTGATCTACAACTCTATATAAATCAATGATCTTGGAGTACTCAATTATTAATTAATATTACGTAAAAATATATTTTACACATTTTTATATAATTAAATAAATAACGTATTAATACCGCACCTATATCAAGGATTAATACACTAAATGACTCACCTTACTCGAAACACAGCTAGCTTGTAATTGATGTGGTTCCACAGGGCTCCCATTATGCCGCCGATAGCGCCAAAAATCATAAATACAGGGAGTTCATACACTTGGAACGGGAATGGCTCCATTTTACCTAAGTTTAACAATCCTGAAAATTCGAATATTTTCAATCGCATGGCTGTTAATATACCTCACTACAATGCAGCCCGCGAGCTCCCCTCATCCGTCGCGAACGTCGCAAACTAACGATTAAAGTTCCATAATAAAAGTTACGGAAACAGATATGAATATGTGTGCGGAATTTTTCACAAAAAATCTCCAAATTATGTACCTGTTGTTGTACAAATTATGTAAGAAAATCACCATATTTCTGCCGATAAAACTCTTATTACGTTCATAGCTTTTATGTTCACGTGCAGAAAGACAGTGATTTTCTTACCATAGCTATATAAATTAAACACTTTTTGCTCAAAATGTCACTTATGTACTTTAAACAGATGATATCTCTTAGAAATTCTGCATTAAAGAAAATACTACAATATACATATATTTTGTCATGATAAAAATTACGTGACGATCAGACTATTTGAAATAAAAATAAATAAAAATATATTTCAAAACATTGAACTACATTTACCAGGATAGCTTAACTCTCCCGGATGTCCGTGATAAGTAGACAATGCGAAATTCAACGTAAATGTCGATACAACAGTCCCGAAAAATATGCGCCATGTTAAAGCTTGATTCCAAAAACTTGTGCCTTCCTCTAGTGAAAATAATACGCCACCTAAAACATGAACATCTTAATAAAACAAAAATTTGTGTTTTTGTTAAATGCGTCCTAGGCTCTCAGCGACCCAAGACGTTTGTGACGATTAGTGTCTAACTAGACAGTAGCCCGCAAGAAATCACAATTACAGATGTTAGACGCTTAGTATATCTCAAAAATAAGGAGCCTCCGCTGGCATATGTATCGACTGTGAACTGGCAACCGGTACTATCTCAATTTTGACAACTTTACAAAAAAAATGTTTGCGTCATTTACATAGACACTGGTTTATTAAATAAAAATATGTAGTGTATACATACATGTGTAATAAAAATATTTAAAAACTACGTATTTTTATTTAATAAGCCGATGCTACGTAAATGATGCAAACAATTTTTTTCTTCACCCGTAAACTTATCAAAACTGAGGTAGTACCGATTGCCAGTTCACAGTCGATATTCCAGATGCAGCATGTGCTTGGAAGCTACACAATTTCAGGATCTTTGCCTCCGCAGATTACTCTAAAGCCACTATTCTCACCAATAGGTGCACCAAAAGCCGCTGATACTCCCGCAGCCGCTCCTCCCGATACAAAATCTCGTTTCTCATGATCCTCGCGAAAATACTGGAACACCTTGAAGTCTTTGTTGAACGTTGTACTCTTGCCTTGGGATATACCGGCCGCAACGACTGCGCCGCTGTGAATCATTGGACCTTCCTGTGAGGGAAATAAGTGTAATTTTAGGAATTATTTCGAAATGAATACTCAACAATTGTATTGTTGTCCTCGTCTCTCCATTAGTAGATCCACTATGGTGAGGAGGGGATTTCAGGTCTTCGATAAGTGTGTGATTTTTGCGCATAAAGATTTTTCGTGTTCGATTCCATTATCAGTTCGAGCACATGATTCGAAAAAACGCTACATAACGGACAAGTTCGACTAAAGTCAACGCGTTGCTTGCCATTGCCAATATGATCAACGGCGGACAAACTTTTTTCATTAGGGGCCAGAAAATCTAGAAATTTCAAACTAAAATCGATATCGACGAAGCTGTCAATTAAGTACATTTCCAAAGACTATACTATAATATACACTCCTACTTTGGAAGGAACGTTGGCGGGCAAGAGTAAAGCTAACTCCGGCCCGCGAAGAGCTTCTTTATACCTAAGTATTTTAATCTTTCTTACCTTTCCACCGGCTAAACCGCCAACAACAGCCGTAATAACGCCGATCGTCTTCACGATTAAAGTTTTTATCCGTACTACCCGTGGTATTTTGACACCGTTCAAATAACATTTAACTTGCGGGATACCACTGCCTCCCGCTACTGGCTGGAAAAAGTTAGTTAAAATTCTTTAACAGGTGCTAATTACAAATATACGAAACTTTGGTTAGATTTTTGTTATCTCGTCATATAAAAAGGTTGAACGGAATTCAATGAAATTTGGCAGATAAGTAGTGTTCGATTTGGTTCAGCATCTATCCTACCTATAGTTTTCATTCGTGTCACGCGGATAAAATACGGGACATCCGTCGAGTTCAACCAAGCTCAATTTGATCCGAGGCTGAAATATGGGGGAACCTTAATGTTGCATACAATAAAGTATTACAAAATAAAACCCCTTTGGTACAATTAATTGGTCTACTTTCCCGATAGGTCCACTGCCACTATTCGTCTACTTTCCCTATTGGTCCACTTGTTTTTCCCGATTCGTCTATTTCCCATTTTGTCTACTTTCCTGTTTGGTCTACTTTCCCATTTCGTCTCCTTTCCGGGTCGGTCTACTTTAATGATGCATCTACTCAGATAACCTCAGTACAGAAAACTAAAAAACCGACCACAAAAGCTCGTGAGATTACATATATGTATTTGCCAAGTTTTATTGAAATCGTTTACCGGAAAGTGCGCGAAACCGGATTAATCCCCTAGTTTGCCACCCTTTGAGGGGGAATATTTTCTTTAAATTTAAATGGGACAACTACTGAGGTACCCTTTTTCCAACAAAAAATAATCATCAAAATTGATTTAAAAAATATAGTCGAAATGAAAACTTCTTCCTTTTTTGGAAGTCGGTTAAAAACTGTCTATTTGATTTTGTTTTTTCAAATCATGATTAACGGAAAGCGACCATCATTATCAAAAATATAAAAAATTTATTCCTTGACAATCTGCAATTATGCAATTACAAACTTCTTTGAAAATTTGTAAAACGATTTATTTTCTAATAACTAACATTTTGTTAGTTTACATGCTTAACAGGTGGCCCATTTGGACAAGTGGAATTCGGGAAAGTAGACCGATCTGGAAAGTAAACTAAATGGGAAATAGACGAATCGGGAAAAACAAGTGGACTGATCGGGAAAGTTGACGAAAAGGTAAATAGACGAATCGGGAAAATGGACCATTTGGACAAGTGGACCGATCGGGAAAGTAGACCGATTATACCGAAGGTAATAAAACAATAGACCTTATATACAAATTGATTGATAAACCTAACATTGCTATTTTAAGATTACGCTGATGTCGTTTCAGCCGAGTGTTGTAGATAAGCAAAGCTTACATGACGCCTGTGTACAAATATATAAAATACAAATACAACGCTGGGTGCAATAAATAACACATGTCCGCTCTAATAGTAAAAAATTAACTGCATACCTAAATTGTGTTATCTAAGATTGCCCATTTGTACCGTGGTCAATGCTAACTAAACTTTATAACTCTAACATTATATTTATAAATGTGTATCTAATATTATATTTATACAGGTGTTGTATATGAGTTTACAATTTATGTTCACTTTTAATATTGTACATAATATAAATAATTGGGTGGAAGATTATAGCTATAGCGTATAAGATTTAGTAATTTATCTTTACCAGAGGTATCTAACAATCAGTCCGCCAAAACCCTTTCGCTTCCATTAAAATTACACATATAGCGTGTCCCAGAACTCAACGTCTAGCGAGCACCAGGCGAGAGGCCAAGTTATATTGGTTCTGGTAAAAATTAAATAAAAAATTCATGTCACTTAGTTAAGTGATAATAGGCATATTTTTGAAAATGTCCTAGACCACTTATTTAGGTACTGTCGTCACAAATGTTCAAATCTTGCATTTATTTGTTTTTTAACGTAATCCTAAATAGCCTTACTATTTATCGCAGTTTCAAATCAAACGATGAATGTCGTCAATTTAGTAAAAAAAAGTTTCATTGAATCAAGGTTTAAAAAAATTACGTCACTAACTTCGATACTTCATATTTTTAAAAAGAAGTACTACACTACCTTGGGCATGTTATTTGAAAAGATGGCCCATTTACTCAAGATTTCACAATGGTGCAGTACTTGCCACTTTTCATTCCATAAAAAATATTATTCCTAATTTTTTTGTCAATATTGTCTCACCACTCCCTGAAGGCCGATTGTAACGCACAAGAAATCTTGCGCGAAAACGAATTGAGTTCCCTTTGAACTGAGGAGCATGGTTATCATACTTATGTTGCCAGCGGCGACTTGAATTTAAATGGTAAGTGTAAAGTTGAGCATGCTGTTCATTGGGTATACTAAACGAATTTATGTTCCAAAAATGTTTAATAAAAATAAGATAATCCTGAATATTTACACCCGTGAAATGTTTAATTTCAGTTTGCACTCTCGGTTTCTAGCTAACTACCCTTCTTCTTAGAATTAGGAATGATGTATTTATTAGCAATCTAAATTTAGGGTTTCTGACTATTACTAGAGCTAAAATCCAGTGAAAATTGATTTGTTTGATTGATTGAAAATACTTATCTGTGAATGTTCACATCTCTAGGATAATATTATAAATTGGAGATGATCTCAATTTTTGAAGAACCAACTCCAAAATTCTGCCTGGTACAGTCAAGAGCACGGCAAGCTTGACAATTTGTACTTTGGACCGTTCTTATCATAAGCGGCATAGAGTTAAATTGAAATCTTAAGTGTCAAGCTTGACGTGCTATTGACCCTGTACCTAGCTTCTATGCTGTATCAATACGGCACTGAGTTCTGGCCTCCTTAACGTAACTAACGTAATCGATATTTTTCGTGAAATTGAGTCATTGTCATGAGACATATGTTAAGCGCGAGCAGTGAAACGAATCGGTCTTTTTTATATCTCATTTAGTTTCCGTTTTATTGTTAAGCAAAATTAACGTAATTGACTCGTTTTACTAGCAAAATAAAAATTCAAGTGCCAATATCTCGAAACTTATCAGAATGCAAATATGTTATGTTACTTATGGTTACTATTATTATGTTACAAGAGTTTATATTTTATAAAATTGATTAGCATAAATAGATAGAATCTCACCTCAACATACGCAACAAGTACAGATCCAATAAAAACAATAGCTATATTCGATAACACCCATAACAAGTATGGAATGTATAGTTTATCAATCAATACATATTTGTCTACAGCTGTAAAAATGTTGTTAAGGAAATTGTGACTTAATACATATTCATAGTATATCGTTAAGGTACCTATTTTATCTAACACCAATTAATGTAATTGTAGACTTTAATCAGTACTTATTTCCTTTCGATAAAACTGACTTTAGAATAAAAGACGATGAACAAATATACAGTGTGTTTGTTCAACTGGGACAGTATGGGGAAATCCAAAACCATAGGAGATATAGAAAACCAGTCTTATCATTGTAAGTCAATGTTATCAACCATTAATCTCTTTTTGTGACAACAATTTTGGCATAGCAAATTATTTGGTCAAGTGTGAAATGAATAATAATAAAAATACATACTATATGAAATGAATAAAATTGATTAATTCTTTTTCTTTAATTTTTCAATATACACATTAGTGTTGTTAAAAAAACCTTTTTTTCTGAGGCGAAAAAAAACAATGAAAAAAACATGAAAAGAAGCCATTTTTTTTTCTGGAGTACGTTTTTTTTATAAAAGTATGAAAATAAAAATATGACAATTGACAAATGTATTTTTTTTACTACATTTCCTCTTTTGTTGTTAATATTATTCTTCATAGATAAATTGCTCAAAATAAATGAGTAACATTCACAGTGTTGTCAATTTGTGGCGAATTCCCCAAATTGCAGGGAATTTCAACTCGGCATTTTGTGGGATTGACGCTATGTGGGGAAAATGTGGGGATTCTAACATTGCGACATCTCACGCCAGGACTGGTAGCTGTAAAGGTACTAACTGGGTGATAAATCTTTCATAGTTATCTCATAGATGGCGCTACGACTAAAAAGTCGATGAAAAACCAAATACAAAGACACGACGCAAGCACATAGAAAAATTCGTGAGGTCCGCTGGTTCGTTCCGTGGCTTAGTTGGTATAGCGTCGGCCACGGTAAGCTAGAAGACGTCGGTTCGAATCCGGCCGGATCGAAGGAATTTTTCTAAGTGTTCGACCTTTGTAGTAATAATTATAACAAATTAGTGGAGTAATTTCACAAAAAATAATTGAATATCAATTCAATAAAAATTTTAAAAAGGATACATTTTTTAAGTAATTTATATTTAATATTAGAGAACTCTTCAATAGCAATATCAATAATAAAGGCAATAAGGGCTGTGATCATGCCAATCAATAGCATAATAAACCATCTTGCTATGTCCTTTCTTAGTACAAATGCAAAGCCTCTTTTGCGCTCTTCGTCTAAAAGGAGATGGTTCTCACATGTGTCATAGTCTAAGCTCTGAAAGAGAAAATTATTATATTTATTTCATTGACCTATCAACAAATGGATATCGGGTCGAATAGAAAAACCACGAAAAAAATGTTCGAAGTTAACCATACAAATGTAACGAAATATAAAAAAAACTAAAACATTTAATTTAAATTGTAATGTCATTGCAGTACTGCCTAATTTTGCTTGCAACAATTTAAGGGCCCATAAACACCATATTCAGCTTCTACTGGAAACTTAACAAAATGCACCATATTTAGCAATGACTGAAAATTACTTGAACACAAGAGTAATGGAGTAGCCTTTACCTTTACCTTTACGGAGTACCGATATTCCAACTAAACGTAAACTCAAACATCCGTAATTCCGAAAACCGATTTATAATAAAACTGTTACGCTTTCGAGTAATTTTGATGCTTTTTACAAAGACAAAAATAGCTTCTGTTTTGTAATCTTCCTAAAAAGTGCCCATTTGACATTATGAAAATTCGAGGTAACTATATTTCGTTCAAATGTATTTTATGACTTCTGTCTGTCTGAGTACAACAACATTTTGTTAGTTATTGCTAACGTTTAATAAAAAATCATTTAAGAAATAAGATTAAAATCAAAGCGACTCTATAGTTTCCTTGTTCTAAATATTTCAATCGCTTGTGGTTTAAACAAATTGAAAATGACCAAGAAGTTTATATAAGCTTCTTCAAATTGACGTAATGGGTCTCTTTCCATCTTTTGCGTAAAAAATGTGTAGCAAAAGGAGAGTTAGCTATTTGATTATTTTCTGGGCTTTTGTAATTTATATTTACGATTCATTTATATATAAATTAAATACTATAAAACTGTACAAAATAACACTTTTAAATGACAACTATGATAACACAATATATTGGTTTAGTGAAAATATGATACAAAATCCTGTTTTTACACTTTACTGCAGTAATTTTTACAAGACAATGTTATATGGTACTGCATGATTGACAACCGCGCTGTTAGTCAAACAAACGAAGACTGTTGCGCGATTGACGCTTTGTATACGATTTTAACACCTATAGGTGCGGACACTTTTTAGCGCGAACCTGACGTTCATTTATTGGTAGGTCAATGATTTATTTACACTAATTTATTGGTCTTAATGTACACATAGATAGAGATATACTTTTTCAAATATCAATTATAATTTGTTATGACTTAAGTGACGGCAAATTACTGTCACTAAAACTTTAAGATTAGTTTAAAAAATTTTGATATTTCTCCCAAATTAAACATAATAATACACACTCAGGTATTTTATTTTCCTAAGTAATATATGTTATATATTGTGTATAAATATATTACTTATGTAATAATTTTCCCTCTATCTTGCATATATAATTTTCCATCTATTTCCTATCTGGCACACCATTGCTCGCTTATTACTTTTGCTCTCACTGCCTTACATTGGCTGGAAGACATCTCTTTTAGAGACAACACCTTTAGTCATTTTTTATAGCATTAAATATTTTTGCTAATTGTTTTAAAGATTACTGTTATATATTTAAGGACACATTCATTAATGAAATAATTTCATGTTTGAATGTAAAGATATTATTTACTATTAATAGGTATGCAAAATCTACTAGCATATAACAGATACTATCACATCAGTATTGAGCACTTAATGTATAGCTAATGCTGTTCAACCACAAAGATAACTCACAGTTACAATCATAGATTTAGTATAGGTAGTAAATTTATGGTTACAATAGATTATTTATGATTCAGAGTGGTCAATGTTTCTAAGTAGGTCATCCATTTTACCTCATATTTAGCGGAGAGAATATTCAATGAGCCTGGTTCTATTTTTTGAACTGGCTGTCTGCGTCTGATTCCGTGACTGCCTTGAACATCTTCTTCATCAGAATCCTAGAAAAAAAAACATTTAATTGTGTTATTATTATTTCCTAGAGGCTTGTGCCAGTGTCAGTTTTTCAGGGATAATATAAAAATTATTGTGATCATTGCCAGCGTGTGTGAACATCGTTCTCTTTATGCGTTTGTGGAGTATGATTAACAGTACATTGAGCACATAGTATATACACAATTATAGTCGATAATCATAAAATTTTATTGTTTGTCTATTAGTATGTTAACATTACCTGAAAATTAACTTCTTTGTTGAGCCTTGTGTCGTTGGAAGTGCCAGCTTCGTCATTGCTTATTAGTTGAGCTGTGTCAGATGTAGTTACACTAATATTTTCTTCCACATTATTCGATGAATTACTCATTTTATCTTTTTTGCTTAATTAATTTTTGAAATTTTTCTACACAATAGCATTAAGAACTGATTTTAGTTGATTACATTATTTTTAACATTCATTTTCTCAATTATTATAACTTTACTAACAACAACCGTTTTAGTAAACAAAACTTGGATCATGCTTAAATTCTCTTTGCTTGGATGTGGTTTTCAGTTTCGGAAAATCCACACAAAACAGACAATCCTCTCACACAGAACACTATACTCACAAGAGTAAAGGCCCATTTAGATGGGGAGAGTTTCTCGCACGCTTCGAGACGAAAACTCGTAGGCGATTCTCGTAAGCAATAATCGCCATAAGATTATCGTATCATAATGTTTACATTCAGGCAAGAACTAAAATCTCGCCTACGATTATGTCATACGAGACTCGTAAGCAACTTAATCGCCTCCTCGACTGTTTACACGGAGAAATATGTAGTAAGGAGATTCTTGCTTACGAGTTTTCGACTTGTCTAAACACGATCTCGTATGACATTTTTTCAAGTTCATACGATTATCGTACAAATCGGTTCGAACCGTTTTGAGTGCGAGAATTGCCATTCGAGTTCAGTGATTACTGCGGTATTGACTATGGATATATCGAAATGACGCAAAAATCATTCAAATTTGGAACTGCTGATAATATTAAGTTCATTGCACTGTATAGAAATATAATTTTGATTTATCATTTTTTTTTAAATTATATAACTACTGACACAAACAAAACTGACAATTATGATAAATTTATAGGGCGAGTGAGTGCGTGTGTGAGTGCGTGAGTGACTGAGTGAGTGAGTGAGTGCGTGCGTGCGTGCGTGCGCGCGGGCGTGCGTGCGTGCGTGAGTGGTGAGTGAGTGAGTGAGTGATGACGATGAGTGAGTGAGTGAGGGGTGAGTGAGTCAGTGAGTGGTGAGTGGTGAGTGAGTGAGTGTGGGAGTGGTTAGTGAGTGAGTGAGTTGTGAGTGAGTGGGTGAGTGAGTGAGTGAGTGAGCGAGTGAGTGAGTGAGTGAGTGAGTGAGTGGTGAGTGAGTGAGTGAGTGAGTGGTGAGTGAGTGGGTGAGTGAGTAGGGAGTGAGTGGGGAGTGAGTGGGGAGTGAGTGGGGAGTTAGTAAGGAGTGTTTATTGAAAAGTACATTTACTTGAAAAGTCGTGTCGGCCATCTTGGATTTAGAAATAAATGCTATGTTCGTAATGAGCACCCCCAAATACCTCAAAAACGATACCCAACTTGCCATTATTTGAAAAGTGCGGGCACGACTTTTCATCCTGGATTTAGAAAGGAGTGCCATATTCGTTACGAGAGCACCATAAATACTATATTGCCCACGCTATATTCGACCACAGAGGCACTCACTCACTCACCGTTATTTGAAATTTTTTTTTCGCTCTTGTTCCATTAATTCTTGTCTTAGAAAAGCAGTGATAATCAAAACACCATCGCGCGCTGCACTCGTGGTAGAAACGGCTGGCACAGAAACTCGAAATACGATTTTTGCTTTCGAGTTCTGTTTACACGGAGACGTTATATTGAAAGGCGAGGAGATTATCGCTCACGTGGACGGTCGATAATCGCAAATGTTTAGACGAGGAAAGTTTTTTTATATTCTTTCGATAATCGTATCTTCGAGACGAGAAACTCTCTCCATCTAAATGGGCCTTTACTATTACACATGCAAATCAAATCAGCCATTGCATTTCAATTTATGTTTATTCCGCCGAGGAATACTTACTATTTACCTCTCTTTTACACTAAAGTAAATCTTAACTCAAATGAATATATATACATTAGGTGTACACTGGATTTTGTCAATTAGTATTAAGTACTTTATATTGCAAAGTTTTGGAATGTGCTAATTTCGTCCATATGTGAAAGATTTTTCCAAAGAAAGATATCAAAACTTTTTTTTGTTTAAATTTTTTTGGTTGGTCATTCAAAACTACAAATTCAAGTAAATGTTTGCAAACGTTTTTAGAGTTAGTATTTTATTTTTCTATTACATTTATTTGGTACTATAAATAGCCTAACTTCATTTCTTGACAATGACATTTCAGTGTTGCAATACTTTCAGTGTATTTTTTTGTGCATTGAAAACGTACTTATTTGTAATACCATCTGACAAATGTTTTAACACGATAAAAACATTTGTAGCGATTCGAGAGACGTTAAGAACTATTTAAATAAATTTCTTGTGTTTTTTTTAAATAAACATGTCTTTCAAAACAATTGTGCTGCAGCATTCTGTAGAAAACTTTATATTTCTTCTGTTGTTAATTGTTATATTGTTCTGTATTTTCATGGACTTTTATACTTTAACTGATTTTATTATAAATCTATTTTTAAAAAGTTGCAGTGACAATTTACAGAAAACAAGTGTAGAAGAATAAAAACTAATCAACGATGTTGTTCGAATAAAATTAGCGTCATCCAAATTACATGCACTTTACTCGGCATTTTACTGCAAATTACAAAAATTGGTCAAAAATTGTGTAAGCATTACTTCTAATTTAAGATATAGAACATCACAAGTAGATAATATTTGCATTGATGATAAAAATGATAACGTTATCAACTTATCATTTTATCAGTAAAGCAATGAAAACAAACTTAACACACACAAAAGTAGTAATCAGCGTAGCGTAAACAATAGGAATTACATATGTGTGCGTAGCTTGCTCGTTGGTTGACAATCGCGATGTGATGAATTCTACATCATCGCATGCTGAGTTATATTTTCAATACAATCTTTTAATTTTCATAAAGTTACTTGATTCATTTCTAAATGTTTTCTTTCGTTGTGACCGCCTTTCTGTATTTTAATTTCTAAATATGTGTAATGTGCCGCCGAAGTTCCATTCAGTGTGTCGCCTTTGTTTATCATTCTGTGGCGATAATTGCAGTGATGTTAAACTTCCAATATTCGACCGTGATAAGGATAAATCACGCCTCTCCGAGATGATAATGACATATTTGTCGATAATGGTAAATATTGTTGGATTATTTTTCGCAAGGGCCTCCAGGAAGACGCCGTTTTCTCGTGTGAAAGTTTAGCATAAGCGTACGAGATTGTGGATGCTGATAAGCGCCATTAACTTTCTCGCGGGTGTTGGGTATTTTCGCATTGTGATATCATATTACGGCCCACGCATTGAATGTCGGAGCGTATGACTAATGTGGTTCGTGGAATTGATAGGCAAGCCGTGTGGCAGGCGCGCTGTATCAGCCGCGCTGATAACAAAGCAGCGTTCGGAGATCACGTCGCGCCGCCCGCGCCCGTCCCCGCCGCCGCACTTCCTGGGCTCGCGTCCCACGTTCCACACATGCACCCATCTCAAACTCGGCTCCTGCCTGCTCACCACTCTTATCCACTAATGCTATTTTGAGATTTCAATATTTTCTAAATTTAGATGTGTATTTAAAGGAATCAATCTGCAGGGGGACTGTCTCCCCCATACGTTTTATTATGCTCTTGAGCATTGCAGTGACTAGACAGGATTGGGGAATTTCAGTGTGTAATTTGTTATCATTTTATACCTACCTGTCAATGACTCATCATCTATGATTACACTTGTTTGCAAAAGGTCACTGGCCACATCACCTCCTTTTATGAGTATGATATTGTGAAACAAGGTAAAACTGATGTTTTTATGCTGTTTTAGGTTTCCCCAGTAGATCCTCTACCTCAGGTGGTTTGCGGGAGCTGTGTACATAAACTCGATGAATTCCACACTTTCAGAGAGTTGTCACACAAATCAGAAAGGCTCCTGGAGCAGTTCCTCCAGTATGCTAATTCACTCTCAGGTCCTAAGGAGGTAAGTACAAAAATAAATGAAATTTCTATTGTTTGTAATATTATCAGACAAAAAAATAATACTATTTACATTTGACTATGACTAATAAATTTTATTTGTAGTTCAATAAAATTTGATTATGTTATGCGTCAGTTAAATCTTCATTAAGGTTGCTGTAATTTACTCCTGATTGACTCCTCAACTGCTTTTTGTAGAAGCGTTTGGTATAGTTGACCATTAGGCCTATGAGCATGCCTACACAAACAACAGAGGCTACTCCAAATATGCTCCACAATACATGTCTAGGTTTCAAATCAGATAAACTGAAATTCTTCTTAGGCAAGAATGTGGAATCAAATGTAGGGCAATAGGTCAGGCTAATATCTGTTATGTATGCTCCACTCAGCTTCATTGGAGCTGCACATCTGCAAAAACATAATAAAATTCTGGCAACTCCTCATACTTTGTAACACATGACAAGTACAACTGGTATTATAACTTAAAAATAAATGTAATGATTAATGATGATCAGTGGAAATCCATATTTAAAATGCAAGACCTTGTTGTCATTATAAAAAAATCCCACTAATAGAGTCACATCACATATTGTGACATAACATTAATATTCAAATTACAAACACAAAATTTTACATAATATCATAAACTTTCATCATAATCATAAGGCCATGTTGAAGGTGGAGTGAATATATGTAATAAAAAAATCGTTTTGTATCAAATTTGGTACTTTGATGGTACTGTATAATTATGTGTATGTATAATGATTGACTTACACAGGGATATCTTTAGGTTTGAATTTTTCTCCTGCTTTTTGTGTAGTTACTATATCGGCGAGATCGCAGTTACATAGCCAATTGTTCTTTGTCATTCCTAAAATTTCCAGCTTACTCCATGGCATTAAGTCTGTTGATAGTTCACTTAAGTGGTTATCATTTAGGTAAACCTGTTGAAAATGTTACATAGAATAAGTACATCTTAACTAACAATTATCCTAATTTTCGGGGCTTTCAGCACCGATAAATACATTTATTGATTAAAAAAATTCATACTTGTAATTCATTTACTGTCTCAGTGGCCGAACGGTTACTATGGTGAAAAATATTTATAAGGCCTACATTTATTTCTCTCGTGAGTTTGGGTGTAATTTGTGGTTGTCTATCTGTGTGTCGATGGCACCCGCGACGCGACGTAGGGTTTCCCAAGTGCATTGCTATGAGTGTATGCGATATTTATTATTATTTATTTATTTTATTATTAAAGTAAAGAAGTTTGATAACTTTATTTGTAATAAAACTAGTTTAACATTTACATAATTGAAAGAAAAATCGAGTTTCATTAAATCCGAATAGAAAGACTAAAACATGTTTTAAGGTCATACTTAATTAACAACGTATATAAGCGTGTAAATAAGCTTTGCTCTAGATTTAGGATAAATTTTGCAATCATTGATTGACTGATATGAAAATATAAATTGTGATTAATCAGCTCTGTTGAATGATCCAGTTCTTTCACTGTCGAGTAAGCATTAAAATGTGGGGCAATCCGAATTACACACTTATATCGATGATTGTGAGATAATAATTTTGTAGACACAATAAACACCATTCTTACACAATGTTAGTAGAGCCAAAACAACATGTTGAGACGTATTGCCCCAGGGAGTCCTCGTCTATGTATCCAAATAAAAATACACAATTTTTTAACATCAGCTTTTAACGCACTAGATCATCTTCTGTGATATAATGAATTACATATGCATTAAGCGAGTAGTTTCATTATTACGCGTTACTACAGTACTTGCCTACTTTACAATATAGGAAATATATATATATATTATATATATACTGTTATCTTTAATAGCATTTATTTAATTGTGTTTACAACAGAATGTTTTTCCTTGTACGTAAAGATCTGAAAATGAGTCACTTTATACGTTGTTGTACGAGTGAATAAAACGAATCCTGACTAACTCTGTTGGCATGATTAGTAGTATCAAACATTTGCCATGGAGATAAGTGATTAAGTGTAATCGGAAACGTCGTGCATCTATTGTGTATTAATAAGCAATGACTTCACGTATGACCGTCTTTGATGTAAAGCAACGAATCCGACTGCCGACTTACCTCACTCAAAGTCCACTTATCCTTCAAACCTCTGAAGGCATTGTGGCTGATGTACCGCAGCTTAGGGTTATGGCAAAGATGGAGGATTTTCAAGTTGACTAGCGGCGAAAACGTGCTACGTTTTACCTCTAACAAGTATTCATTGTTACTAACTTCTAGTTGTTGTAGTTTTCTTAGGCCTGAAACATTGTGAGATGCTTAAATTACTCAAGTATTGACATATGTATGTTAGGGAAATTTTGTGGTTTCTGTATAACATAACTAGCGTTTCAAGACTAAACTATCTAAGCGATTTATTCAATCCGATCAATGACGTGATTAAGTAACAAACTTTGCATTACTATTGTTAGTGTGAATTTAAAAACGGAGCCTTCTTATTCGAATGTACCTAGGTATGTTCAAAGGAAATACGTAGCAAACTTTCTAAATGTTTATCGTTCGGAGTCACTTCACCGCGAGATAACAGACTCGTTTAAACCTTATCAATTTTTTCTTTACATATCCATTAACTAGCACGGTATGCAAGCAGGATTGATGTGTGGTATTTGATTTTGCTAAAGTAGTTTATTTTGTCAAATGGAAATTTTACGCGTACTAAGCGGATTCCGCACACTTTCTAATGAAATGACTCATCAAGTCGTCTCCACTCACCTACAAAGCTATCATCGTTGAGCTCTTCGATGCTGTTATTGTTGAACGTTAACGTTTCTAAAGATCCACCCACAAGGTTCAAACTCTCTGGGACAGTTATGAATTTGTTTCCAGACAAATCTATGTACCTCAAGTACATTAGGTTGCTGAAGGTCGCCATGGGAATGCTGTCGATTTCTGTATACGACAAATCGAGGGTCTGAAAAAAAAGCGTTCGATTGATTAGGGCGCGTTTTCATTTTCACTATGAACCTGTATCATAGTCTGTAGAAGCAATTCCGATTTTTTATGCCTACTTAGTTTCTATTTAAACAACATTCTTAATAACTTACGTAACGTATTTTAGTCGTGTCAGATTACAGGTAACATTATCATTTGTTGCCTTAGATAGTTTTCAGTTTCTTCTTATGATAATTATTTAAGAATTTGTGATGATTTAAAAAGTAGCAACATTTTAGTCTTTATTCTAAACAGCATCCTTTCGAATTTGATAACGTTAGTAAGTACGTAGAATTTACATAAATGATTGTTTAATTTAACATTACACGTGTTTCTTTTCCGTTTCTTATCTTTGCATGTCTTGTGTACATTCACGATTTTCTTGTCAAATGATCAAGTTACAAAAGTAGTCAACATACCTGCAAGTTCGTAGCGCTCGATATAGCCAAAACAGATACATGGTCGAGGGTTTCTAAAGGATTATTATTCAGGAATAACGACGTTAGATTCGGCGTGTGTTGGAACAAATATCTGTCCAAGGAATGGATCTCATTATGTGCGAGATTTAGTATTTGTAGGGAAATATCGCCGTAAACGTTATTTTTGTACGGACCTTGAAAAATCTCACTCCGTAAAACCTGCCCTGAAAAGACGTTCAACAATTTGTATTTAAATAATCATGCTTATCAATTTAACTAAATTTCCTGCACAGTTAGATAATTTTGTTTGTATATGCACTAGAATTTTGCCAAGTTAATAACAGAACTGTTATATTCTGTGTCTTTGTTCATATAATCAGAATTTGTAGCTCAAGTTTCAAGAGTTAGCAGCTATGTTCAAAGTTCCTTCTTTGGTACACCGAAATTTGGATGAGTAAATCGTGTTCGATGGGACACAAATCTCATTCAAATTGGCTTGATTTCAGTAGAGTAGGTCTTCATGTGACTCCTAAGAACTTTGTGTTTTATCTATCAGTCAGGTTGCGCCATGATGTTTTTCCTTTTATCGTTAAAGCAAGTGCCGGAAATTCTCGGTATATAAATAATAATAATAAATAAATCATTTATTTGGCATCCAAGGTCCACTTGTTAGTAAATACAGACAATTTTAACTTACGACTATTATTAGTAGATGCAGAGACAAACCACAAAAACATAAAAATATATAACGCTCGAGACGCCGATTACCCCATGACTTCACCAGAACCTGGATGTATTTTCGAAGCGTCGGCGAATCGAGCTTAGCCGAAAACGTTAAAGGATGCTTTTAGGACTAGAATGCAGTCTAGAGAGTAGTGACGCCGTCTTTTTGCGCCTCACATCAAAAAAAAATCTACTCCCTCTTGAGCAAACATCGACTATGCGCTATTTAACAGTGTCGCGGTAGGCCCCACAGCATCCTAAAACCGTTATTAGGTATATTGAACGCGCAGGGCGCCGAGTGCCTTCTGCGTATAGTTAACCCACAGACCACCCGTGTAGAAGGATTACTGGATTACAATATGCCTTCAATAAAGTTATTTTGCTTCCTCACTGCAATGGGCGAATCTATGTGCCAACATATTACACCTAGCAGCCAACGCCCTATGTTCATAATCAATATCAGTTTGTTCTTTAAGACCCTCCGTCAAGTAGGTAATGTCCTAGGTATTTAAATTTGCAAACCTTCTTTAGGGCCACCTCATTAAGGTTAATCCTAGGTTTATACGACATCATTCTACCGGGGCTCCCAAAGACCATAATCTCACTCTTACCACAATTGTAAACAAGGCCGGGAGTAGGTACTTGTGTATTGTTCACAAACCCGAAGCAGCTCCGCAATTGACCAAGCTGTTAAATCCAGCAGCATAATAATAATTCTAATATTAGTTGTTTGAATATCACGATGTTTTACTACCATGATATTAATTTTTTTTATTTACTCCACTAAAATGGTACAATTATTAATATAAAGATCGAACACCATGAAAAATTCCTTCGATCCTGCTGGATTCAAACCAGCGCTTTCAGTATACCATACCTGACGCTCTCCAACTGAGCTGCGGAACGAACTCAATTGGACATGTATATGTATCTTTTACAGATCTTTGTTTGTGGATGTATGTGGATGGATGTTGCTCAGACAACATGCAAAATAAGGAACGACGTGCGTGCGTGCATTTGTGCAAGTGCGTGTATGATCGGTGATATAATTTTTAATAACCTTATCCTTTTTACCTGTAATGCGATTCGAACCCAAGTCCAAAGAGACTATTCGGTCCACATTGCTGAATGCACTCTCTTCGATCTCCGCGATCTGGTTGGCCGTGAAACCTAGGGAGATCTTATTCCCCGCCAGCGGGGGGAGTTTGGTCACATTCTTGATAGTATTGTTGTAGTATGAAATGCGTATCTGGTCTATTAATCCTGAAAAAAAAAACGGAAAAAGATTAGATAGAGTACAAAGTACTGTTGATTGCCATTTAGAAGTTTAATCATTCTGTGTCATTTATTCTTTTGACTTTTTGAATATCTTTTTATAACATCGATATTGTAACAAATCACCGGTCAAATTCTGATTAGTAAATGCTTGTTTTCCTTGACTTTGACGTTGGCGAAAGCTTCGATAGTTATCGATAGCGCTATAACAAATAAATATATAAAGTTCATAGATGTATTATGTTATGTGGTTGTTACCAATGTTCCTAGGTTTTTTTATAACATCAAGTGACGGGACGAACAAGTCGTACGCCTGATGGTAAGCTACACGCCTGTCCATAACAGTAACAGTGCCACTCAGAGCTTTAAATTGCAAAGATCTGAAGGACACTACCACGGCGCCCGTCATCTTGAGACATAAGTTGACAAGTCCCATGTGCCTGTAATTTCATCAGCACTCTTACCCTTCGAAACCGGAACACAGTAATGCTGACATTAATGATTGGCGGCAGAAATAGGTAAGATAATGCTACCCTGGACTCACTGTTACTTCACAAGGAGCTCTACTGCTACTTAGTTGAAAAAGGACAGTTTTAATCTTTACGCTATGTAATAACGGAAGACGTGCAACCTACTAGTAAACGTAACCCAATACCTGCCAAGGATTCTGGTGCTGTCTCTTTAAAATCTGATATTGCTTTTTTTTTCATGAAAAATACACGCACGGTTGGACTGTACCTCATCTGATTTTAAGTTACTCTATAAATACAGTAGTAGCTAAGAAACCACACAAAACCAAC